AGCAGGACAGGTGATGTGGTGCTGACCAGAAGCTAGGGGTGCAGCAGACTGGTGAAGAGGGGGCCCCTCAAGCTGTGGCCCGACCCTTCCTGCAGGCACAGAGCTGCAGACCTGGCCGCAAACCTCCCTGCAGCGCCTGCTGTGTGACCTGGAGGAACTCCCTCCCACCCCCGCTGCATTCTCTACAAAATGCCCTGCCTCTGCCTCCTAGCCTGGGTGGCAAGCGGGCGACAGTCCCTGGCAAGCGAGAGTGCACGGGGAGCTCGGGCTCAGCGGACACCCCGTGGCTTCACTCACGGGGTCAGGGCCCGCCCTTGTCACGCTGGGGCCGTGAGGTGGGCCCCTCCCGGAGAGGCCACAGGCGCCGTGAGAACCAGGCCCTGTGAGGCAGCAGCGGAAGAGCAGCGGAGGTTGAAGGTAGGAAGCATCTTGTTACAGTAAGGGACACACTGCCCCGAGCGCCCGCGGAAGCTGCCCCATCGTCCGTGCAGCTCTCTGCTCTGGAGGCCTCGTTCGTGAGTCTTTAGCTGTCCCGGCATCCTCGACGTCCGAATCGGCTCAAAACACCTTCCTTGCGTGTCATTCTGACATGAGGAGCCAGCAGTTGCCTGGTGTCAGATCGGGTGGGTGAGGCGGACGAGGACACCAGTGATACTTTTATCAGACGGAATTGCTGTGACAGTTCTGAACTGATTCAGGACGCTGAGGCCGCCACGAAAAGACTCGCAGGAAAGAGGACCCAGGAGCTGCTTCAGAAAGCGGCCAGGATGCGGGGAGGAGTGCGCGGCACGAGGGGAGGATTTTGAGGGGATTCATGGCAATGTGTCTTTCACTGCAATAAATTTTTATTTAACGTTTACCGTACCTTTTAAAATCACACCTGATAAATACCTATGAGGGTAACTTAGTATCTAATGGAAATATAAAGACAGGAGCAGCATAGCTTGTATCATTGTCTCTGACTATATGAACGTACGTCCTGATCACTCAGGAACCGGGCACCACCCGCAAAGCTCAGCGACGTAAGACAGACATCATTCCTCTCCCGAGCCCGCTGGGCCCTGCAGCACCAGGTGTGGGCCGGGCGCTCACCGAGTTCCCACCCCGTGGCGCCATGGGTGGCAGCCTCGGCTCTCTGAACGGGCAGTGTGGGGCTGGGGGCCACCAGTCCCCTCGGGCAAGCTGCTGCCTGCTGGCACGGGTGGCTTCCGCCAGGCTCAAAAGGCCCCCTCAGGGAGGTCGAGCTTCGCAACCCTTGGGTCTGAAATAGCTCAGTAAAGAGAGCTCGATGCCTTGGAGGAGGAGACGGGTGCATCCTTTGCTGTCTGCAGGGGCAGTGGCAGGGGAAGGGGGCTGCGGTGGGGCGGTGCGCAGTGCCCAGCCCCTCCCGCTGCCTCACCTCCTGGTCCCGGGCAGGAGGCAGCACCACACACGGCCCACCCCAGCCCCCCCAGGAACCCAGGGCCCCTGCTGGAAGGCCGCGCTGAGCAGGGGTGAGGGGCGGGGAGCCGTGCGAGTGCCCCTGTTCTTAGGCGCTTCCGGGAGGGGAGAGTGGACGTGCCTGGGCGCAGAGAGCCCCAGGCCCGGCCAGTGGGGTGCTGGGACCCGTCTGTGTGTGTGTGCGGGGTAGACAGGGTCCCTAGCACCGGCCACCGTCCCCCGCTTTCTTGTTGTTCTTGTCCGACAGTCTACACCGCTCCTGCCGTCCGCAGCTGCCCGGCTCTCCTGCCCAGGGTTCTGTCCCATTGCTGCCCGTGGAGATCTTCCTTTTTCTTCCTTTTTGTAGTGTTGGAGAGAGAACCCAGGCCTTTCCGCTGTACGGCCTTCCCTGACTCCTTTATTTATTTAAAAAAAATTTTTGAGACAAGGTCTGGCCTAGTCCTTGTTACCCAGGCTGGGCTCCAATGTGTGATCCTCCTGCCTCAGCCTCCCAGTATGCTGGGATGACAGGCGTGTGCCGCCATACCTGTTTTAATTTTCTTACTTTTAAGATCTATGTCACTAAAAAGAAAGTGTCTCTCAACAGATGCCTGAGAATGAGGTGTGTGCTGGCTGCTGTCCGCTCTGCCCTGCGCCTGGCTGGGAGACACAGGGGAGGGGTTCGAGCCCTCTCTCACAAGCGGGCGCCAGTCCAAGCTTCTGGGGCCCCACACTGCCACTCCGCCTAAGGAGTGGGGAGAGGCGCGCCCAGGTTCAGCAGCCCTGGGTCCCCGCAGTAGCAGGCTCCACCCTCAGGTGACCACTGTCCTCACGCTGAAGTGGGTGCGCTGAGCCAGCCATGGTGGTGCACTGTTGTCCCTGCACTCTGGGAGGCTGAGGCAGGAGGGTCATACTCTGGTTTCTCTTCAGATTGTATAAATCTTTCTCCTTTTGAATTTAGCCTGGGTGACTTAGCCAGACCCTGCCTCAAAAAAATAAACAAAGAGTTGAGGATGGAGCTCAAGGTGAAGGTCCTGGGTTTGATCCCTCATACAGAAAACGGGGTGTGCCGTCGGCCCCCTCCTGAGTCCCTGCTGTGTGGCCACACCGGGGACCTGGAGGCGCCGTCACTGCTGTGCTGCTGCACTAACATGCAGCGCGCTGCGGCTGCCTCTGCAGCACCGACAAGGACGGGGCCCAGCGGCTGCAGAGCGATGAACGACAGCTGATGCGCCGCGGGGAGCAGCCTCCTTCAGAGGGCGTTTCAGTGCTGATGGTGACTGTGCCAGCTGCAATCCGACGCGCGGGGCACAAAGGAAGGAGCCCTCCCCAGACACAGGGCACTGCCTCCGAAGCCTTCCCAGCCCAGCATCAGGAAACAGTCTCTTAGCTGGGCATGATGGAGCACGGAGGCTGAGGCAGGAGGGTCCCTGTGAGCTGGAGACCAGCCAGGGCTACAGAGCGAGTTCCAGGCCAGCCTGGATCTTTTTGTACTGCTTCTGGTTCAGTCAGCCTGGGGTACACCTTTCCGCGAGGCTGCGGTTTCCACCCCTCAGAACAGCTGCAGCTCCCCATCTCAGGTGGTTCTCTCTGCTCCCTCCTCTGCCTGCTCCCTCCTCTGCCACTCGTGATCCGGAGTGACAGACCTGAGCCACTCACACTCACACTTGTGTCCGGATCCCACCGCAACACCGAGGTAAAGTCTCTTCTTCATGTCCTGGCTTCACGTCTGTCGCCTCTCCCCAGAGCCAGCAGGACGTCACCTGAGGCTGTGCCACTCCCAGGACAGCGCCAGCATTTCCTCCCGGCGCCCAGCAGCTGCCTGGTGCTGCGACTGCATCAGAGTCCTCAGGCGGGGACGGTGTGTTCCGGCCTGAGCCCCGCAGGCTTCTCCACACGAAGGCACAGCCTTCTTCAGCTGAAGCGGAGTTTGGATTCGATCAGCACCCAGGCTGTGTAGACATCGAGCCTCATTTCACTGTTTCTGGGAAAAATCGTGCGTCTCGGCCCCCTAGCCCGCTGCACCGGGTTTTGTCCTCAGTCCAATGCCCATCTCTGATGCACATTTTCAGTTTGTGGGAACCTCGCTGGCCCCTTCTTGGATGGCCATGATGACCCATGAGGCCCAACCCCCATGCTGACATCTCCAGAGACCGCAGCATGGCGGGGACGCCCCCCGCGCCCCCATGCTTCTGTGTGACCCCCCGGAAGGTGGTGGAGCTGCGTCTGGAGCAAGCCTGTCTCACTCGCCCTGTGCCTGCCGATTGCCGGGAGGAGTGAAGCGAGGCCCACAGTGGGTGTTTCCTTGGGCTTTCGGGGAATCCCAGGGGACTGAACCCAGGGCCTCACACGGAGCTCCAACCCCAAACCTTTTATTTTTTCATTCTGAGACAGGTTCTTGGCTAAGTCACTAAGTAGCCCAGGCTGGGCTCAAACTTGCAATCCTCCTGCCTCAGCCTCCAGAGTGCTGGGATGACAGGCGAGTGCCACCCCCTAGCACGTAGGGAAATTACAGGAAAATTCAAGTGGTGACGACCATTAAGCCTGAGGACCCTCGCCTGAGGAAGCCCATCTCTGGCCGGCCATGACCTAGCACTGCAAAGAGGGGGAGACAGCGGACCAGACTTGACCTGTGGAGCTGGAGGTGCACTTCCGGGATCTGCAGCTGCAGCTTCTGCGGGCAGTGTCGTCCTGCGGCAAGGCTACACCCCAGTCAGGATGGGACCCCACACCCCAGGCCTCGACACTCGTGACGGGGGGCTCCACCCCTTCCCATATCATCACCCCACGAATTATGCCTCATGACGTTAATGAGGCCTGGGAGCCTACCCTCACACCCGGGCCGGGACTCCGGGCTCCCATCGGGAAGAGCTGTCCCTTAAGGACACAAGGGGGCTGCAAGATGTCCAAAGGCTGAGACACTGGGGGTCATTTCTCGTCTTCTGATGCCACTTCCCACAGACACAAAGTGAGAAACGGTTTCTGTCACCTGCCTGTCAGTCTGTCTGGCTTGTTCTGGCCCCGAGCGACAGAACCCAGCAGCCCGGCTCGCTGGCACCAGAAGTGACCGTTTATTGCCGACTCCAGGCTGAGGGCGAGCTGGCCTGGGGCGTGGCGGACACAGGTGCTGAGATGTGGGGTCAGGGCCACCTGGGCCTCTTATCCGAGGCCCCAGCCCACGGGAGCCTCGCGCACAGGGCTCGGTGCGGGGCAACGGGAAACCGGCGTGGAGCAGAGGGAGCAGCGCCGGAGGCAGCGGGGCAGTGGGCCTCGGCCTGCAGCACTGAGCGGGCGGGAGGGCGTGATGGTTGCGGGGTGTGCCCGGGGGGTGGGCACCATCGCTCGCCCCGCAAGGCCCAGACGCAGATGCGGGGCAACGCGCAGCCTCTCCACGGCCTGGTTCTCCCTGTGCAGGTTCCATGGGGCACAGCAGCTGCGGGGGTCACCCATCAGTGACGTCGGTGCCGGACTGGGCGCGTCTGTCCAGCATGGCTCTGCTGTGGGGCACCCGTCCCCGACTGGGGTGCGTGCCGGGGCGCCCCGACAGTGTGCGGGGGTGCCGGGTGCCCAAGCGCGGCCCGCAGGGTGACGTCCTTCCCGGCCCGCTGCTCTCGGTCACGCAGGCTTCGGAGCACTGGGATTTTCTCCAGCATCTCACAGCTGACCTGGAGGAGGAAAGCAGGCCCGGCTGTGCCCAGCATGTCCTGGGCACCGTGCACACGCTCACAGGGACAGGGTGCCCTTGGCACCTGTGTGCACACTCACGGAGACAGGGTGCCCTGGGCACCCATGTGCACACTCACGGAGACTGTGTGGCCTGCAGGGTGGTGGACTCCACCCTGGCCAAGCAGAACTGGGCTCGGTGACCGACCCTGGACCTGCCCCTGTGCTGAATTGGCTGAAAGTGGAAAAGAGAAACTGAGGCTCTGTCAAAGGCCTCTGCCCAGAGGGACACCCGGTCCCTGGTGTGGGGGCACAGAGGATCACTCCCCCATGATCCTGGGGACAGCGGAGCTTTTGCCTGCACGCCTGTCCTCTCTGTGCCCGGCAGGAAGAGGCGTCTGATTGGGCTGTAGGCTCTGCAACCCCGGGGGACCTCTCCAGGGTCCCACCTTGCCAGAGACGCAGGACAGGCCATCCGAATCTGAACACCACCTCTGCTGCCCACTCTTGGCAACAGGTGCCCAAGCCATGAAACAAACCCCACAAAGAAGCGGGGTGCCAATCTATGGAATCTTCTCCTTTTTTTTCTGGGTGAGTATTGGACCTAGAGGCTCACACAGGCGGGCCAGCACTCTGCCACTGAGCCACACCCTCAGCCCTTATTTATTTAAAACAAGATCTTGCAAAGTTGCTGGTAGGTGGAAGAGGGGCCAACGTGGAAGCACGTTCGAGGCCTGACCCGCTGGAGCAGACCCCTGCTGTGAAGTCCAGGGGCCTCAAGGGCAACCGCTGGGCGGGTGAGCATGGCCAGGTGGCCGAGGGGGCCGTGGACCCATGAGGCACTCAGCCGTGTGGCTGTTCTCAGTGCTCAGCGTCACCCTTTCCCTGGGCACTCTGCGGGGCGCCGAGCTCCAGGGCCAGCTCCCGGGGAGCTGCGCGCATCGGGACACGGGGCAGCACGGAGTCAGCGGACTGCTCCTCGGGGACTGCAGTGCCCACTGTGTCCGCGGCCCGCAGGAGACCGCGGCTCTGAGCTCTCGCAGGTATTGGGTTAATAGCCCTTAGTTACTGCGGGCTGATCAGGCCCGCAATCTCCCAAACGAGTGGACAGCAAAGGCTTAAATAAGTGAGACAAATGAGGTGATTTCAGGGCTCCAGGAGGGTCTCTCTCTCTCTCACAAAATTTAAGATTCTCTGGGTTAAGACTAGGAACTTCCCTGGGTAGCCCGTATTTATGAGGTTTTCAAACAAAGGAGTGGGGATACTGAAGAAAATGCAGGACTCTGAGCAGGATTTGGGAATGCCAATAAGGACATCTCCAGGTAATACTTGATCTTAATGTAGGAGAGCTATGTTACCTCCAGGAAGGCCTTCACCACGGCAGTGAGATGCCTGCAGCTGCAGTCTCCTTGTAGTTAGTTGGGGTTGGAGCCAAAGGTCCTCAGCTGTGGCCTTGTCCTGTCCTTTGCAGCCTCACGGCTTCACCCACCATTACAGGCCTCAGTAGGGACCAGTGACTCACAAGTGAACTTGAAAAGCCAACTGGTTAATTTCAGTCCTGCTCAGAGCTGCTTCGCAGTGGTCCCCATCACCCAGGGGCCAGGTTCCCTCCCCATCTGGGCACGATTTCTAGGGCCACCAAAGACCATTCATGGCGCCCCAACTACAATCAGGTGACGAATGAGTGCGCTGGAGAGACAGGAAGGACAGAGACGCCCGGGGCGGTGGTGCCCGCCCGCCCAGGCTCTTCACAGAGCGCCATGCGGTCCTTCAGCGGCCAGTGCTGCTGGCTCCCAGCGGGCACCGTGGGGCCTGCTGCACGGCAGAACTCCCTGTGCCCACGGGGTGGCTGGGACGCAGAGGAAACGAGAGCCGCGTCAGATCCCGGCCGTGGCCCAGCCACACCCCAACCACTCTCTCCCACTGCCGAGCAGCCCCGTGGCACCCTGTGCGGTTCTCGTGAGGCCGACCCTGAAGGAGACGGGCACCTGGGGCCGACCTCCGGCCCCACAGCCTGCGGCCTCCTCCGCGTGCGCCGTGCCTGTGCTCCTCTGGGACGCCCGGCGCCAGTCTGCACGGTCACGGCTCACTTTCAAGAGCTTAAGTCAGCAGGGCTGGAGTTTGGGAGGGATGATCAGGCAGAGACCGCGGCTATGAGAGCAGGCAGGGACAACGCATCACCTGGAGGAACCGGGGACCCAGGCCCGGGCCAAGCTGGGTCGGAATCCCACGCCAGCACTCGAGCCACCAGCCTAGACGAGGCCCAGCCCTGGCCTTAGCCTGGACGTACACGCCGCTCACCTTGCACGTTGCACTCCTCTTTCCGGCACTCACATTACGTGACCCTAGATGGGACGGAGGAGCTCTCGTTCCCTCCCGTTCTAAACCCGAGGGTGTGGGCAGCCGCGGGCAACAGCAGACCCTGGGAGAACCCCATAAAAGCGACCAGCTCTCTTGCTCGTGATGAGCGTTCATCATTCACTGATGAAAATGCTTCTAGGGCTTCCCAATGGCCAAGGTGAAACCATGGCCTAAACGAGGGTAGGGGAGCAAGCTTGGGGCACAGGACAGGGAGCCTGGGGTGCTGCCTCAGTCAGGGCCCCCTCCACCACAGCACGGCCCCTATCAGGGGTGGAAAGGGCTCCGAGGGGCTGCTGCCTGTAAGCCACCTTCCATGGGGTGCAGGGTGGGCTGCACCTTGACCTTCCGCCCACCTGTCCCCCACTGTGCCTGAGGCTGGAGCGGATACTGCTACAGAAGTCACTGCGGACAACCCAGTGAAGACCCTGGCATCACAGTCACCCAGAACCCGCACGGAGATGCCTGCCTGGGTTCCAGGACCTTGGTGCCCCAGGACGCAGCCGTGGCAGCGAGCACAGGAGGACAGCGCCCCGAGCTGCAGGGCTGGTTTCTTGGACATAGCTGTGCGACCCCCGCATCCTTAGTGAGGGGCTCCCCTGCCGCAGAGCCGAGCAGGGCTCTCACTGATGGACCGCAGGGTCTCGCCCCGGCGACAACAGTGACAAACAGGACCGCTAACATTTCCAGGCCTTGAGCTGAGCACTGTGCACATCTGCCCCGCACCAAGCCTAGGTCTGGATGATCGCGACCTTCGCAGGCGAGGGTCTGAGGCCGCAGCCCGGCGCTGGTGGTGGGCCTGCCACACACTCACTAGTTGCCCAGTGTCACTGCTAAAGCGCACAGGCCGGACATGGAGGTGGATGGGGACAGGGCAGTGGGACCTGGAACGGCCTGTGGGCCCGGGAAGGCTGGGCGAGGCCAGGCAGCAGGGGCGTCACAAGGAAACACCGTCTCCCTCTCTGCTTCTCATCCTCCTCCGAAGAACTGCCTGGGCGCGCGCTACCTGCTGCCTACTGGGCAGGACACGGGCACTCTGCGTCCAGCTGTCCCCTCCTTCCCGCCCCGATTCTACTGGAATTTAAAGCACTTTTCCTCAGTAAATGTCAATGAAAATCCTCTGCTGCCCGCAGAGTGAGAGCGAGGCAGACCGGGACTGCGGCGCTCTGGACGCCCCCAGGCAGGGCTTCCAAAGGCGGCCGCCGCAGCACCACGCGACCTGCTGGGAGCGGGGCCTGCACCTGTCCATCTCCCTCCCGGCTCCTCCCTGCTGGCCTGCCCTGTTCATGGGGCACCGCTCGCCCCGGCCCTCCAACCCGGAGGCAGGCCCTGTCCTCCTTTCTGGGCGGAGTTGGGCACCTGGGGGCAGCGCCGGGAAGAGACGAGGGTGCACAGGGTCCCCACGAAGGGTGACTAGCTGGGGAAAGCTGAGGGAGGCACCCGGCCGTCACACACGCAGGTGCTTGTCACTCGTGTCCACCACATGGGCTGGAACGGGGCTCTGGCGCTGGGCGGCTGGGGGGGCCCAGTGGGCCCGATTCTGCCCTCAGGCAAGGGGCTCACACCCTGCCATACCCCCTTCCGTGGCTAAGACACAACGCGACACCAGCACTGAGGGGGAGGCTGCCTCTGCCCCCTCCGCAGGCTGCAGTCTGCGGCCCCAGCTCCAAGCGGGCGTCGGGTGGAAGGGCTTGGCGGGGAGCAGGGGCGGGCGCGCTGCGGAGGAAGAGGGCCCTTCCAGGCCACCCCGCCGCCACCTCTTCCGACTGGACGGGCCGTCTATCATCGAATCACCTCCTGCAAGCCCAACCGACAGGGTCATTGACATCAGCAAGGCTCCCTTGTTGACCAGTGACCCTGCGCCTTTCTCCAGGACAGGCCTGGACTTCCTGACAGGGCAGCAGAGCCCCGGCTGCAGCGCTCTCCTCAGAGCGACCGGGCAGTACCCCGAGACCCTGCTTCCAGGACAGGGAGACGCTGGCCTCACAGCTGTCCAGCGGGGGAGGGCAGCCTCCACCCCAACTTCCGAGGGGACCCAAGCTCTTTGGAAAGACACCAAAGGACATCTTGATTTCAGGGAGGCGCGGGGACCTTCTCCCTGGCGCTCCTGGTGCCCTTGGAGGGCTGCCCTTCTCCTGCCTGGCCGCACAAGCTGTCGCCCTCTGCTCTTCCTGGCAGACCCACAAGGACGGGGCATGACACCGCCCCGCCCCCAGGAGCTGCAGGCCCGCAGGCTGAGGCCACAGCGAGAGGCACCTCGGCTCCTGTTTGTCCTCGGAGGTGGGTGCCGACTTTCCAGGGGCCCAGATTCTCGGGGCCCTGGTTTACAGGGGAGTCTGGGAATCGCACTTGGTCCCCACAGAGCGCAGATTCTCTGTTTTCTCAGCGGTTCTGGCCGTCCCCCACCACATGCAGCATCGCGGGCTGCCGGATGGCGTTGGGGACGGACTGCCATGCAGACTGCCTGTGTGCGAGACCTGGGCGGCAGAGAAAGCCACAGGGCCGGGGGCGGGGGCGCTCTGTGTCCACCCCTACCGCGCCTGCCTGCTGAGCTGCGTCTACACTGGGCCGCCCGGCAATTCCTGAGGAGGGACCGCAGACACAGCAGCAGACCAGGCGGCGGGGACAGCACTGGAGCGGAGAGCAGCTGCCAAAGCCCCAGACGCCGCCCTCCTGGTCACTTCCGCCGCGGCTCACCTCTGCCACGCACAGCACAGGCCCGGACCTGCTGCTGCCAGTGTCCGAGTCTGAGGCAGCATCTCGGCCGCTGGTGTGAGCGGCACTGCCCCGTCCCAAAGCTCTGCGGGGGACTCCAGCACAGGCCAGGCTGGGCAGGAGCGGACAGCCACCCCACGCAGGGCCCACGGTAAGAGGGGCCACTTGGGGCTCTGGGCCGGCTCAGCGGGCACCCACCTTGGACCACATGATGCCCGCTGGCTTGGGGCGTGCACAGCCTGTGGCGATGACCCTGGTGGGAGTGAGGATATAGTCGACCGTGAGGTCATGGTCTTCAAGAAGTGCTTCCGGGAAGTCCAGGACCTGGTGAGGGGAGGGGAGGGGAGAAGAGGCTGGGGGAGACCGCATGGCTCACCAGCATGTGCAGCCGGCCAGGGACTCCCCCAGGGCGAGGGCCACTGGCTGCCCACCCCCGCACACGCAGGCACCAGGACACACCTGGCAGTCGTGGACGATGGTGACCACGGGCGTGCCCGCGCGGACGGCTCCCATGGACACCATCATGGCGTACTCGAGGTCTGCGTAGCCTTCTCCCTTCCCGATCCTCCAGCCTGAGGGACAGGGCGAGGACTGGTGTCGGTGAGGCCTGGGCTCTCACCAGGCCACCGGGGAAGGGCACCTGGACCCACGGTCCCCGCCCCACTGCAGTTTCAGCAGCACCCCCATGCAGCCCGAGGAAACAGACGCCCAGGCTGAAACTGGAAGAGCGACATGGATGTGCACAGGGGGAACACGTTGGGCAGCAAACCCGGGGCCTTTTTAGCCCCAGGGAAACCACTCGCCTCTGCCGGCTTTGTGTCAGTGAGGCTCACACTCACAGCAGTGGGAGGAGACACCAGCAAGAGCTGAGAACAGACCCAAAGCAAGTACTGTTCATCCTTCTACCGCGGAGGACAAATAAAAGCCCCGAGGCCAGTGCCCGGGGTGACACAGCTGCTGGGCAGCGGCCAAGGGTGGAGCTTGAGCAGGACTAGCGGGTACAGCGCACAGCCTGATGCTGAGGACAGGCTGGGGCCACCCCGGCTTCAGGTCTCCTGCGGCCAGAGCGCAAGGGACAGGACTGCAGCAGCGCCGCCTTCACCTCCCGGCTCCTGCACTTTCCCGAAGGGACGGTGACGCGGGTGATGCCCCGGCCAGCAGCAGCGCCCTCACTGGGGACAGCAGCACTGCAAGCCTCTCAGAGACCCAGAGCCTCCCGTGCTGGTGCTGGTGCGGCACTCACACCTCCAGCCATGCATGCGGGGTGACGGGGAGGGACAACTCTGCAGACAGCAGCAGACGACAGGGAGGCGGCAGACAGGGAGGGCAGAGGGCAGCAGGCGGGCAAAACACCGGCAGCTTAGTGCTAAATGCGAGTCTCAGGGCAGAGGCAAGACTGCTGCTTGCTTCCGGACGGCGACAGCCAGCGCTCCGTGTTTCCACGTGCAGCAGGAAGCTGGGGGGACCACAGCAGCCTCTGCATGGGAGAGCTGGCCCCGTCGTCCAGGCTAAGCCCAGCAGTTTCCCTCCAGAAGCGTCCCGTCAGCCCTTCACAGTACCCGGGGGCGGGGGGCTCGTCCAGCTGTGTCCACAGGAGGCCACTGTACCCAGAGGCCCAAGACCCGGGGCCCATAGCCGGGCGCAGAGCACATGCTGTCAGTGCTTCCAGCAAGGCAGGGAAGGGGGGACAGAGGACACCGAGGGCATGGCACTGGCTCGCCTGTGGCCCCACTAGGGACGCGGGCAGCAGCCCACGGGGAGCAGCACAGGCAGAGCTTTGCGCAGTCTTCGCTCCCCACCCATGTGTGGCTGTGTTGTCATTTTGAGCCGCAGTGACCAAAGGACGAGTTGCGAGACTGTTCCCCGTGTCACAGGGCCCCCGGCTGGAGAGGACACTCCTGACCCTTGTCAGGAGGCGGGCTGTGCTGAGAGTCTGCCCACACCTGAGGCCAGGCCTCCTCCACCAACCCTGTACCCCCTGACAGTGTCCACAGCCTCTGCGGGCCAGAGGCTGCCCGGGAGGGGACACTGCAGAAGGCTGAGGGTCCCCGGCCTGTCCTGCTGGTGCCTGGTTGCTGCAGGTGCCCACGCCGCCTGGCAGGCGCAGGTGTACAGTAGTCAGGAGCACCAGCGCCCAATGTCCCAGGTCCAGGGAGCTGGGAAAGCAGGCACACGGGGGCAGGCGGGACCCCGGCCACTGCAAACCAAGCACTGCGTGCCCTGCCGCCCGGGCAGGGTTCAGGGAGGCCCCTGCTGTACGGAGGCACCAGGTTCATTGTGAAAATGGGCTCAGAGCCCAGCAGGTTCCTTCCACCGGCGCACTGCGGGCTCGGTCCACAGAGGCCTCTCGGCCCGGAGGGAGTGCAGCCCCTCTGCTCTTCCTGCTGAGAATCAAACCCTGCAGGGGCGAGCAGGGTGCGGGGGAGGACGGACCCTCGCTGGGCCCGGACAGTACAGTGTGCCTGGAGGGTGAGACGACAGCCACGTCTGAAGGCACGCAGGGGCCAGGAGCACCTGTCCCACAGCCTCCGGTCTACGGTCTTACCTTTCTCGGAAACGGCCACGGATCCCACCACCACCAAGTCCACGAGGATGTTGGAGTCCAGGCCCACGGGGCAGCTGAAGTTCCTCACACCCTGCGAGGGGAGGTGCGGGCTGAGTCGGCTCCTCCTCTCCTGGCCAAGCCAGGGGCAGCAGGGCTGGACCCCGCCGACCCTGCCCGACCCCCGCCACAGCCTCACAGGGCACAGGCGGGCTCTGCGGCTAGGGCCCAGGCTGCAGGGGCCATTTTTGGGCACGTGTCCCCCAGGTTCTTTCCCGGGAAGGTGGCACAGTTGCAGGACACTGATGCTTAAGTAGCTGTCACTGTCCCTGCAGGGCCGGCACAGCCAGGGCCACGGGACGCCCAACCGGAGGCTCAGCCTGGGCCTCGGCTGCGTGGACCCCCCACCATCGGGCTCTCTGTCCTGCCGGATGGGCAGGCCCTGCCAGAGACGGGCTAGGGTTCAATGAGCGTGCATGACGGGCGTTTAGCAGGCGGCACGGCGGTGAGGTGGCTCGTCCCCACAACTGGTGTAAAACCCAGGAGGCCGGGTAGAGGCTGGGGTCTCTCCACAGGGCAGTGTCACTGTAACCAAAGCCCCCCTGCAGCAGATCGGTTTGTACTGGCTCCTGGGGGTGTGCACGGGACTCTCTCAGTGCAGCCCACGGGAACCCCAAGGGAGTGCCCCATGGAAGCAGGTTATTCCACATGGGGTGGGGCATCTCCCAGGCCAGGGCACAAGACATGAGATATTGGGAAGTGGGCTCAGTGTGGGGCCCCAGCAGCCCTCAGGGTCCACGAGGCTGATTTTCCTATCTTTACTTGTGCTATTTTATTCAAACACACATAAAACTTACTATATATATATACGTATATATATACATATAAATATATGTGTGTGTATATATATATATATATATATATATATACATATATATATATATATATATTTTTTTTTTTTGGTACCGGGAATGGAACTCAGGACCTTGCACTTGTGAAGCAGGCACTTGTGCCACTGAGCTATATCCCCAGCCCACTATATATATTTTAAGTCACAGTAAACTATATTTTTTGAACAAGACAGGATATCTGAATAATAAATCATTCAATCTTTACACACTAGACTCAAGGGACAAATCTCTTAAGGATTACCTTGAATTACCCTACTATTATTTTTTTTTATTCTCAGTGGATCAGGAACAAGTGACCTGGAATTTCGGGTTCTTGAAAAGGTCGGCAAGTGTTGTTTAACTGTAAAATAGGAGACCAATTCTCTTGCCTTCCACTCTAAGGGGAGGTGTCCAGTACGTCTCACTGGACTGTGAGGCGCTGGCGGACCTGGCGCCCGGAACTGTCCGCGCCGCTTGGAAGGGGCGACCTGCGCCGCGGGGCGAAGAGGCGGAGCTACAGAAGCGGCCCCTGCAGTCCCCCACTTGGCCCCCAGGGTGGGGCTCCGCGGCGCGGCGCTCACCTGGGCGCTGGCGCATTTGCGCAGGTCGGCGCTGGTGGCCCCGGGCGGCGGCGTGATCCTGTTGAACAGCCCGGACCTCAGGCGCGGGGTGGGAACCAACAGTGTCTTTTTGCTCTTTCCGGAAAAAGACAATCAGAAAAGCCGTTAGAATTTTGCGCTGGGTGAGTTCCCGGCGGGTAGGGAGCAGAGCGCGGAGCCGTTCTGGGAGCCCGCGCCCCACCCTGTCGGGCTCGCGTGTCCACCCCACTCAGCGCCTGCAGCCCCGAGACCCGGCTCCCCTGGCTGGACGGCAGCAGCCCGAGGCCCGGCCCCGCCCCAGCCTGCTTCAGGCCGGGTCTGGCCCCGTCTTCCAGGCTCCAGGTACCCTCATGGGCAGCGAGGGGTCCTCAGCCCCCCAGCCCTCATGCACCCCTGCCCCGAGACTTGATTGGGACAGAGTGGAGCCCCGTACTCCGCTTTACTTGCAGGGGCAGGGACGCACAACTGTCATCCCAGCACTCTGGGAGGCCGAGGCAGGAGGATGGCGAGATCAAGCCCAGCCTGAGCAAGTTAGTGAGGCCCTGTCTCAAAATAAAAAGGAAAGAAGGGTTGTGGCTGGAGCCCGGTGTACAGGCAGAGACTTGCTTCATTCCAGCAACAGCAACCGCTATATTAAATGAACGGGGTCCCTTGAATGTCACTGTCTTTATAGCTTTGTCTGCATTTCTGCGCCGACTTTGTTTTTATAGCTGCTTAAGAGCTATAAGTGTTACAATTTATACCGAATTTTACTATTTATACAGATTAATTAAAACGATAATATGTTCATTTAAATCAACCAGAGGAGAATTCTGTTTTCTTTTTCTTTAAAATGGGACCTGCTGGGTGTGGTGGTACACACCTGTAATCCTAGCACTCGGGAGGCTGAGGCAGGAGGATCATTCCGAGTTTGGGACTAGCCTGGGCTACAAAGTGAGCTCAAGGCCAACTTGAACTGCATAGCAAGACTCTGTCTCAAAATGACAAAAAAATACAAAATAAAAAAAAAAAGGACCCACACAGTTAAGCTGAGAATCAGTGCTGCCTTTAACACTGGGGGCACATTTCCCAGATTTCTCACTGATGAGTTAGTGTCAAAGGATTGTATCACAAAGTCAACATGTTTTAAAAAAATCTCATATAAAGTTAACATATTTCAAA